AATTTTTAAGAATAAAAATAGCCCGGCCAGGAGTGGCTCAGCGGTTGGGCATCAACCTAGGATCCGGGCGATCAGGGTTTGATTCCCAGTAGGGGCAGATGCCCGGGTTGTGGGCCCAATCAATGGCTCTCTCATCATTGATGTTTCTATCTCTCTCCCTCTCCTTTCCTCTCTCTGGAGTCAATAAAGATATATTTTTAAAAAATAAAAATAATAATTACAAAACTTATGTTTCTCACTTTAATTTATTTATCACCAATTCAGAAGCATTCGCTGAGCCCTGAGCTAGGTAACTAGGGGAGTAAAAAAGAAATGTAACAAATAGCCTCAGTCCTCCAGGAGATTGTAGTCTAATTGAAGAAAAGAGACAACCAAACAGGAAGCAATTAACTAACCACCCAAAACAATGTATGGTTGAGGCAAGATAAATGCTACAGGCAGAGTGCTATAATAGTTTGGGGGGGGGTGTTATTAGGACCTGATTCAGTTTATAAGGGTTCAGTGGAGAAAGCAAAGTTTGATTTGAATCTTGATGGGTGGGTAGGATTTGAATAAGGGAAAGGGGACATGAATCAAAGGTGTGTGGTTAGGATTGAGCATGGAATTTTGGAAAGCTTGTAGAGAAAGCAGTCTGTAATTCAGGTGACTAGGGAGAAACTTCAGACAAGGTTGGATATTGGGTTGTACAAGCTGTAGGACCTTGAACTACTAGATAATTTTGAACAGGAATTATATAATTAAAATTATTTTTCTTTTCTTTTTTTTCTTTTTTTTTTCTCAGATCAGTATACAGAATGCATTGAAAGAGGAGAAAGTATAACCAGGGAAATCTGTTAAGTGGCTGTTGAAGTAATCTAATCACAGTGTTGTGAGTACTGGAAAGGAGGTGCTGATGGAGGCACAAAGAGTTGATAAAAGAGAGACATTGTGAAAAGAGAACCAACAGACTTGTTGGCTGTCTGATTGATAACCATGAGGAAATTGGCATGGGTTTATAAACTTATGCTGGTTTGTAGGGAAAGATGGTTTGATATTTTAGATATGTTGAATTCAAAGTAATGGTGAATTATCCAAGAAGAGATGTGCTAAGGGGGTTTGGAGATGCGAAACTGAAGTACAAATGAGAGATGAGAGCTTTTTTTAAAAAGAAAAATACTGAATACCTACAATGTGCTAAACATTCAGGATACAAACATGAATAAAATATGGATCCAGACATTAAGGAGTGTATAGTCTAATGGAAAGACAGAAAAACAGATGTAGATTATGCTGATGACTATAAGAAGGATAGATAGAAAGAAGTAAGAAGTGGATCCAAAAAGATGCTATTGCAATGATCCAGGCAAGAGATGCTAGTGACCTAGTCTGAGTAGTGAGAGTTAAGAAGAGACAAGGCATATTCAAGAAATATTTAAAAAGTAAAATATTCAAGACTTAATAGTTGGTTGAATGGCGAAAGTCAGGGTAAGGGAGGAGCCAAGGAGAATGACTCCCAAGACTAACTGGAATAACAAGATGAATAGTGATACCGCCAATTGAAATAGAGAATAAAAACAGAAAGAAGAGGAAGTTCATGTGGGAAGAAAACAATTCTGTTTTGGATGTGTTGAGGCTGAGGTCCTTGTAGAGCATTCGGATGGAAGTGTCAGCAGCAAGTTTGATAAACAAGGCTAAAGCTTAAGAAACAAGATGTGCCAAAGTTGTACAGTTGGAAGTCATCAGCATACAAGTGGTAGTTAAATAATAGACATAAATGAGATCACCCAGAAGAGTATATAAGGAGAGGAAAACAGTGGATGAAGGACAGAACCCTTAACAATAGCAATATCTAAGAGACGGAAAGAGACAGAAAAGATTAACAGACAATGGTAGAAAATGAAAGTCAGGTTGCAGTGCGTTGAGAATGAATTAAAGGTTAGAATGTGCAGAGAGCAAGGAGACCATAACTCAGAGCTTTGCAGAAAATGTGGGAGCAGCCACAGTTCGAGAGCAAGACTTGCTAAGAGAGGCAGGAAATGAAATGGAGAAGAATCATTCAGTGAGTGAGAAACATGTCAGAAAAGCAACTGAGGGAAGATTTAGGAGAATTTTCAAGACTATAAAATGCTAAAGAGATAAGAGCAGATTAGGACTGGGAACAGTGGTAAGGGCTGAAGCCAGATTACAAAGGGGCTAAAGGAAAGGATATTAAAGAAATGGCATAGTGAGTATCAAACACTCTTTTAAGAAATATGGTAAGAAAGGGATAAAAAAAATGGGGGAAGAAAAGGAGTCTAAAAGTGCAAAGCAACAATAAAAAGGAGGTAAGTGGAGAGAGGAGCAAGAAGGACTACTAGGAGAGATGTCGGTGATATCAAGTGAAATATTTGTCAAGATACCTGTGAATTCATTAAGGTAGATGGGAAGGGTACAATGAAGGGGAGATCCTGAAGATATTCAAGCAAGTGGGGAGGAGTGTGGGAGACAAATACTTCAGGAGTTGAGATTTTAAATAATTAAGTGAATTATTCTAAATACAACATGTACATATTGTTCTTGTATCATATAGTCAAACATGGAAAGTTGGCTTTCACAAGAAAAGTAGACAGAAAGAGTTTGGTACCTTGAACAAGGACTGCTGCCAACTGGGAAGAGAGTAAACTTGAGGTGGCTTAAAAGAATTATGGAGCATTAGACAGCTGGATAATCCAGCTGCAAATAATCAGGGAAGAGATACCCTCTCCCTCCTTATCTAGTTTTCCCTTGAGGCATAAGGGAATGTCACCTCTTGCTTTAGCTGGTCATTTTTACCTGAGTGCAGGCCTATTCAAATCTGGACTGGCACCTCTGGCATGTGCCCATCTTGAAGTTACCCATGGAACTCAGGATATCCAGGGACATATTTGTAATCTCAGCTGCATGCCTACTGCCATTCCTCTTTGGGAAGCCTGATGCCACCATGTAAGCATCACCAATGGTCTCTACGTGGGAAACAGTGGGGGTGGGGGGAATAGAATCAGGAAGCAAATAACTTCTGGTGTGTGTGTGTCACAGAGTTTAAGGGGTATGATGGGAGCCAGGTGTTCTTTTTGTAAAGTGAGGAAGACAGGGAGATTGTCAGTGGTTTACAGGCCTGGCTGCACATTAGAATCACTTAAGGACCTTTATAAAAAAATACCAATGTCTGTCCAGTCAGCGTGGCTCAGTGGTTGAGCATTGACCTATGATTCAGGAGATCATGGTTTGATTCCTGGTCAGGGCACATGCCCAGGTTGTGGTCTCAATCCCCAAGAAGGGGCATGCAGGAGGCAGCCGATCAATGACTCTCTCATTATTGATGTTTCTATCTCTCTCTCCCTTTCCCTTCCTCTCTCTGAAACCATTAAAAATTATATATATATAATATAT